CGCGGACGACGACGGCCGAGGCTGGTGGTCGAGGCTGGCACGTCGAATTCGGCGAGCTGTGGATGCTTTGGATGCTTCGACGCGCGATGGTCGCACGTCCTGTCCTCTGGTACCAGGTCACGGCTACGGCCTGCAACACTCTTTCTCTCGTTATTCTCGTAACCGTCCTCTATAAACGGCGCGCGGGCGGCGCGAATCCCGCCTTCCAGATCCTGCGCCCCTTCGAGGCGATCCTCCCGGCCTACTTCAAGGAACGGCGCGCGGCGTCGGAGCGCCACGTGTCGCGGCTCCTCTCGAGCGCGATCTGCGCGGCCTACGTCGCCGCGTGTATGCCCCAGGCGCTCGGCCCCTTCGCGGACGCGGGCCCCGACGCCGCGTGCCGCGCCGTCGGCGCGTTCTCGCAGGCCGCGAGCCTCGTCGTCGTCGTTCTCCACGGCTTCGTCGCGCCGCGGCTCGCTTACGCCGTCGTCGTCGGCGGCCGCCGCGACGCGGCCCGAGCGCTCGGCCGGTCCGTGCCCGCGGTCGTCGCAGCGTCCGCGGCGGCCGCGGCCGCGATCGGCGCCGCGGACCCGCGGGCCTACGGCCTGGCGACGTGCTGGTGCTGGTACCGGAGCGAGCGCGGGGGCGCGCGGCCGCGGATCTACGGCTTCTTCAGCTTCTACCTCTTCGCGGGGGCGGGCGCGCTCTACTCCTGCTGGGTGCTCGCGCGCGTGCTCCGCGCGCTGCGACGGCCGTCGATGCCGTCGGCGGGGCGCCCGACGCTCGCGCGCGCCGCGACGATCGTCGTCGAGGCCGAGGCTACGCGGGGCGACGTCGCGCGGCGGCTCGTGGGCAACATGCTCGTCTTCGTCGTGGTCTGGGCCGTGGCCTTCCTCGCGCGGCTCGTCATCGAGCTCGATCCAAACGCGAGGGCCCGCAAGTTCGCGCTCGTCGTGACGCTCGAGGTCGCGGTCAGCCTCCAGGGCTTTTGCTACGGCGTCCTATGCCTGAGCTCCGACGACGCGCTCCGGCGCCTCGAGGACGCGACGATCGGCGCCGCGCGAGCGGCCGCGGCGCGCCGGTCCGAACGGCGCCGGCTGCGAAAGATGAGTAGCCTCGGCCCCGCGGCGCGCCATCCCTGGTCGGAGCTCGCCGCGACGCCGCGGACGCGGCGGCGGACCCTTTCGCGGCTCCCGTCGCTGTCGATGTCGCGGCGGCGCCTCCCGAGCGGCGACGTCGAGGCGCCGGCGGCGGCGCTCGACCGCGACGTCCACGTGGCGACGCTCAACTGCGCGGAGCGCGGGACCCTCGCCGAGCTCGTCGGCGGCGGCGACGTCGGCGCCGCGCTCTGTGTGGAAATCAAACAGTGAGCTGGGTTATCCCAACCAAACTTCAGAACTCTCTATCTCGGCCAAATCGACGTCGATTCGGCTGATTTTTGGACGGATCGATTGCTCTCGTCGAGCTTTCGAAGCACGGCAGAAGATCTCGCGTCGAAACGGTCGCATACGCTCACATTGAAGTCGGGTTGAAGATTTGATTTCGACACAGGCCGCGCTCGAGGACCTCGCGCCGCCCGGGGCCGACGTCTACGCCGTTGGGGTCCAGGAGTGCAACTGCTGGCCCGAGCTCGTCGCGGCGGTCGGCGGCGCGCTCGGCGCGGGCTTTTCGGAGCTCGGCCGGGCCCAGCTCGGCTCGGCGCACCTCAAGGGCGTCATCGGCGTCGTCGTCTTCGCGCGCGCAGACGACGTCGCCGCGGGCTTCGTCGCCGCCGAGGCCCGGGCCGCGGTCCCGCTCGGCGCGGACCTCGGCGGCGGCCGGCGGGCGTCGAACAAGGGCGCCGCGTGCGTCCGCGCGCGCGTCGGCGCCGCGTCCTGCGCCTTCGTGGGCTGCCACCTGCCCGCGGACGCGCGCGGCAAGTCGCGCCGCCGCGAGCGCGCGGCGGTCGCCGCCGCGGCGCTCGTCGGCGCGGGCGCCGCGCCCGGCCGCGGGCCGCCGGATCCGCCGACGCACGTCTTTATGTTCGGCGACCTCAACTACCGCGCGGTAGGTCCAGCGTCCCGAGGCCGTGGCGACCTTCGAGAGACCTTGACCGGGAAAACGATGAAAGAGAGTTACCGACGCGTTTGATAGGTGCCGCCGGACCTGTCCCACCCGACGGGCACGCTCGCGCGCGTCGACGCGGCGATGAAGGACGCGCGGCGCTGGCCCGCGGCGCTCCGCGACGACGAGCTGGCGGCGGACGTGGCCGCGGGGGTCGTCCTCGCGGGCTTCGCCGAGCTCGGCGGCGGCCCGCGCTTCCCGCCGACTTTCAAGCGCGACGGCACGGGCTACGCGTTCCTCAAGGACGCGGAAACGAGCCTCGACGCGGCGCTCGGCCTCGCGCGGGACGACGCCGCCGCGGGCGCGGCGCCGGCGGCGGCCGCCGCCGCGCGCGAGATCCGCTACCCGTCCTGGACGGACCGAGTGCTCTTCGCGTCGGTCGGCGCGGCCGCCGCCGCGCGGCTCTCGCCGATGCGCTACGGCGCCGGGAGCCGCGTAACCGGCAGCGACCACCGGCCCGTGGCGCTGGCCTGCCGCCTCGCGGCCGAGCCCGCGGCGGCCCGGGCCTTCGCGGCCGCCGCCGCGTGTTCGCCGTCGTCGGAGCTCCGCGCGGCGGGCTTCGGCGCGCGCGTCGTCGCCGTCGCGGGCTGCGGCGTCGACTGGCGAGACGGCGGCGGCGGCGACGACGACGCGCCGGCCGTCGCGGCGGCGACGCTCACGTTCCCCCTCCCGTCGGAGGACCCGTTCCGCGCCGCGCGGCGCATCGACGCCGTCGCGGGGCTCCTCGACGGCGGCGGCGGCCCGCGGGCCCGCGCGCTCGCCGTCGAGCGCGAGGCCGCCCGCGCCCCGTGGGGCGCGCCGCTCGCCGCGCGCGCGGACCTCGTCCACGGGGCCCTCGCGCGCCACGCGCTCCTCGCGCTCGAGGGGAGCGACGGCGCGCCGCTCGGCTCCGCGGTCCTCGCGCTCCCCGACGCCGGCGCGGCGACGGTCGCCGCGCCGCTGACCCTCGGCGGCCGGGCCGTCGGCGCGCTCACGGCCGTCGTGACCGTCTCCGCGCGGGTCGTCGGCGTATAAGGCCCGTATATTCGCGATCGGGAACCTACGAGCCTACCCCGCCTTGGCCTTGTCGTCGCAGGTCGCGGCCATCAGCGACGCGTAGAGCCAGGCGAGGCCGAAGAGCGGCCCGGCCGCGAGCGCCGCGAGCGCGGGGTAGAGGTCGGGGTAGCGCGCCGGCGGCGGCGCGAGCGCGGGCAGCGCGTGGACGAGCGCGAAGGCCGCGAGGCCCGCGACGCGCGCGCGCGGCCGCCGGCTCCGCGGGAGCGTCGCCGCGTAGAGCGCGCAGAGCGCGCCGTAGGCCACCGCGAGGCCCTCGAAGTGCAGCAGCGGCAGCATGGAGAACGCCGCGAGGAGCGCGAAGCCCGCGGCGTACTCGGGCGCGTCCCCGTGGAGCGCCGCGAGCGGCGCGGCGGCGACGATGATCCCCTTCTCGTGGACGTGGTAGGAGAAGAGGAAGAAGGCGAGCGCGCCCGCGTGGAGGCTCCAGAGCAGGCCCCGGAGCGACGGCGCCGCGCGGCCCGCCGCCACTCTATAGCAGCGCCAGCCCGCGGGGCCGAAGGCCGCGACGAAGGTCAGCGCCGCGGCGGCCGCGACGAGCGCCCCCGGCGCGGCGCGGTCGCGGACCCGGAGGACGACCTGCGCCGCGTACCAGAAATTCGCGACCTTGTCCTCGAAGACGCCGCGCTCCACGGGGAAGCAGCGCCGCAGCGCGTCGCCCGCGGCGCCCGCGGCGGCGAGGGGCAGCCAGCAGAGGCCGAAGCAACCAACGACGACGCCGCCGAGCGCGAGCACGCGCGGCGCCGCCGCGCGCGGGCCCCGGGCCTCGCCGGCCGCGGCGAACGCGCCGCCGCCGGCCAGGGCGCGCCCCAGGAGCTCGCAGAAGACCGCCGGCGCGAAGTAGAGCGCGGTCTGCTTGGCGTTCAGCGCCAGGCAGAAGAGCGCCGCGGCGGCGAGGGGCCGCCGCGCGTCGACCATGACCGCGGACCACAGCGCGAGCCCCAGGGGCACGCAGTTGTACTGGAAGTGGCCGTGGTCGACGAGGACGAGCGCCGGCGAGAGCAGCGCGGCGAGGATCGCCGCGGCGCGGTCGCGGCCCGCGCCGTAGAGGCGGCCCGATAGCGCGACGACCGCGGAGCAGAAGACCAAACCGTCGAGCGCGAGGACCGACCCGCGCATCCACGCGCGGTGGCCGGCCGCCTCGTAGCCGCGCGACGTTTCGAGGGCGACGGACGCGGGGTCGATGATGTGTGATAGCTTGCCAAGCGCATACTCGAGGTAGGCCATGGCCGGCGGGTAGTCGAGGCCCCAGTAGTCGACGTCGTAGGCGTACCAGTCCGCGAGCGGTTTGTGGATCGTCACCTCCATCCAGTGGCGGTGCGCCTCGTAGTCGCCGAAGCGCGGCGGCGTCGCCTCGCCGCTGTAGGGGTGGAGCGAGCAGCCGTGGCGCGCGACGAGGCCCGCGGCGACCGCGCACCAGGAAAGCCATTTGCCCGACGGCGCCGGCGCCGGCGCCGGCGGCGCCGCGGCCGCGGCGCGCGCGTAGTGGTCCGCGGAGTCGAAGCGCCGCAGGCGCTCCGGCGACCCGAGCGCGCGCGCCGCGAGCAGCTTCTTCGCCCGCGCGCCCTGCACGCCCTGCGGCGCGCGGGCAGTGACGGCGTCCGTCGAGTCGTAGCGCTTGATCCCAGGCTTCTCGCGCAGCGCGCGCTGGGCGAGCTCCGACGCGGCGCTCATCGCGCACTCGTCGGTGCTCCGCGGCGGTGGTCGGCGCGGATGGAGGCGCGCGCGCGCGGCCGCGACGGTCTTGCCACAGGCGGCGCCGGCGAGCTTGCTCTCGAAGCAGCGGCTAGCGGAGAGCCCTCGTCCACCAGCGCCAGCGCCGCCGCCCGCACCGTCGCCGTCCGCGCGCCCGCCCGCACCGTCGCCGTCCGCGCGCGCGTCAAAGCGCTGCATTCGCAGCCGTACGCGCGCAGCGTTCCAGCATGCGCTGGCTCCTCGCCTTCGTCGCACTCATCGCCGCATCGGTCGCGGCCTTCAGCCCGCCCGCGCGCGCCGTGGGTCCCGCGGCGCGCGCGTCGCGGCCCGCGTCGCCGCCGTCGCCGCGGCGCGCGACGCGGCGCGCCTACGACGGCACGGGCAAGCGGCCGACGGAGGTCAAGGACCTCCCGGAGAACACGCCGACGCTCATCCTCGGCCCGCCCATCGCGTTCGTCGCGATCATCGCCATCGCGTCCCAGTTCATCCACCTCAAGTAGGCGGCCGCCGCCGACGCGCCGCCGAGGCGCGCGCGCCGCCGCCGTCGCCGAGCGCGCGGCGGCGGCCGCGGCCGCGCGGCGTCGAGCCTCGACCGCCCGCGCGGCCGTCGCCCGCGCGCGGCGTCGTCCGGGCGCGAGGCGCCGAAGGTCGACGCGCGCCGCGGCGGTGCTAAGGGACACCCTCATCGAAGCTAAGGCCTCCGGGACAGGGTGGTTATCGGGAGAGGCGACTCAGGCCGCCTCCGAGGCCGCGGGCAGCTTCTCCTGCTTCTTTTTGTAGTCCGCGATGGCCGCGTTGATCGCGTCCTCCGCGAGCATGGAGCAGTGGAGCTTGACGGGGGGCAGGTTGAGGTGGGCGGCGATCTCCTTGTTCGTGATGACCGCGTCGCTGTCGATGTTGCGGCCCTTGACCCACTCGCTCGCGACGGAGCTCGACGCGATCGCCTAAGACCGGGGGCCGTTCGAGCGCGTCGGCGCGCGCGCGGCGCCGCGGGGGCGCCCCGCCGCAGACCCCCCCGCCCCCCGAGAGGACGCGGCGCGCGCGCCGAGCCGCAGCCGAACGTCTTGAATTTGGCGTCGACGATGTTGCCGTCGTCGTCGATCTTGATCTGCAGCTTCATGACGTCGCCGCAGGCCGGGGCGCCGACGAGGCCCGTGCCGACGCTCGGGTCGTTCTTGTCCATGGACCCGACGTTGAGGGGCTTCTCGAAGTGGTCGATGACCTCCTGGTGGTAGGCCCGCGCCGCCCCGCGGGACCCGGGCCGCCGGGCGGCGATCGCGGCGACGCGGCGCAGGGACAGCATGGCGCGACGAAGCGTGCGGGGGCGAGAGAGGCGTCCGGACGGGGGCGCGGCGAGAACCTGGGCGAAGAACCTGGACGGAGAGCACCAGCTCGTCGAGGGCCTCGAGCTCCTGCTGCACCTTGACGTCAACACCGGCGCCTTACCTCGCCCGCGCGTCCCGGAGCTGGTCGGGCCAGAGCGCGGCGCCGAGGCGCAGCTTCGTCTCGTTGAAGATGAAGAAGCAGCAGCAGATGAGCGCGCCGCGCGCGCCGAAGCCGCGGAAGAACGCGGCCGCGCCGCCGTCGCGGTAGATCGCCGCGGTCGTGCCGCGGAAGCCGGCGCCGCCGAGGTCGCCCTGGGCCACCGTCTTGATCGTGTCGAAGGGGTGCGTGACCGCCGCGCAGAGGACGCCGCTGGCCGTGGACGCGACGGCCGCGCCCGCCGTCGGCGGCAGGTCCAGCCCGTCGCACGCGCGCTGCACGCGCGGCGCCGCGCCGAGGTAGCAGCAGGCGAAGAAGCCCTCGCGGAAGCTCGACGCCGTGAAGCCCCGGAAGAGGCCCCGCGGCCCGCGCGCGGCGAGGACGCGCGCGACGGCGCCGGCCGCGGTGCCGCCGTTCTTTTGCTGCTGGATCATGATGAGCTCCATGACGCAGCAGGGCACGCCGCTCGCGTAGCCCGCGAGCCACGCCGTGCCCAGCTCCTCCGCCGCGGTCAGCGGCCGCGCCTCGCCGCCGAGGACCCGCTTCTGCAAAAACCCGCAGCACGCGAACTGGGTGCCGATGAGCGTGCCGTCCGCGGCCATGGACGCGGGCGTGCCGCGGTAGACGACGCGCGGCACCAGGGAGAGGGGCGTCCGCTGCTGGAAGCAGTTCTTCGCGTAGGTCAACGGCTGCGTCGCCGCGGCCTCGATGCCGCCCGCCGCCACGCCGAGCATGGCGTTCTGGCCGTCGCCGAGCTTTTGCAGCACGGCGTAGCGGTCGGCCATCGTTGGCGACGGCGCGACGCGCTCCGTGCGGCAGCGCTTCGCAGGACGCGCGCCGCGCCGCAGCGCTCGCAGGACGCCGCGCACCGACGGCGTCGCCGCTGATGCTGCGATCTGATGCTGCGACACTTTCTCGCAGTTCAAGATGCCGTGCAACATCACCGAACTTGGGCGCATCGCGGCCACTTTCGCGGCCACACCGGCCGGAAGGAGGCTCGCAAGATATTTTCCGGAGACGGCACCGCCGGGGCTCTCACGGGCGCGCCGCCGCGCGCGCCGGCGGCCGGGCGTCCGCGTCCCCCCAGTCGCGCGGGAGACCGTTCCGCGCGACAAAAAAACTATGTGTTACTCCTCCTTGGGCTCCGCGACGACGAGCCCGCCGCCCTCGATGTCGACGACGGCGCTCTCGATGTCGTCGACGGCGCTCGCGACGCAGGCCGCGACCGCGAGCCGGCGCCGTCGGCAGCGCCGCGCGAGGCAGAGGCCCGTGGCGGCGACGAAGAGCGCGGCGCCGCCCGCGGCCGCGGCGCCGGGCCCCGCCGCGGGGGGCGACCGGTCGAGGGGCACGGGCCGCCGCCGCCGGGGCCGCGCGCGCGGCGGCGCCGCGGAGCCGTCGTCCGCGGCCGGCATCGCCGCAACGACGGCCGCGAGGTCGTCCGGCGCGTCGAAGACGGCGCCCGCGGCGGCGACCGTCGCGACGCCCCGGCTCGGGTCGTCGTCCCGCAGGTGCGGCGGGATCGTCCCGGAGAGCGCCGCGCCGGACGCGACCGCGGCCGCACGCGCCTCGGCCGCCGCGTCGTCGGCGGCCGCGCGCGTGTCCTCGCGCCGGTGCCAGCCGACGTGCTGCGACCACTCGGCGCGCTCGCCCCTGGTGCGGTTCGAGTCCTGCGCGCACGTGGGGGAGGCTTGCACCGCGCGCGCGGGCGGCGCGGGCGCGCACCTCGCGGAGCACCTCGGCGAGCAAGGCGGCGCCGTCGTCCGCCGGCGCGGCGTCCATGCGTCCACCTCGCCGCGCTGCGACTAGTAGCAGTCTCTGCTGCGGCAGCTCTGGCAGAGGCTGCCGCAGCTCGGCGCCGCGGCAGGCGCTCGAGCTCAGTCGGGCAAGAATGGTTCAAGTTGACCTCACAGCGCGGGGCAGCCCTCATCATTCCGCCGACGCGACGCGCGCGCCCACCCCGGGCGTCGCGACCGTGGGCGGACAAGGCGCTGCTGGAGAAGCCCGGGTCCTTCGCCGAGGAGCCCGAGTCGTTCCGGGCCAAGGGCCTCGAGCCACATCGGAGCCATGCGCGCGCTCCGGATCGTCGCGCTCCTCGCGGGCCTCGCCGTCGCGTCGGCGGCCAACAGCGACATCTGCGAGGACGACGCCGAGTACGACGGCAGCGCCGAGTTCACGCCCGGCGGCGCCACGTGCGGCGGCTCCGACACGTCGGGCTGCGTCTCGAGGAGCGACGGCCTCTACTGGTCCTGCGACTACATGCTCACGACGTTGACGGGCTACATGAACGTGCACCTCACCGACGGGTCGACGCGGCTCTTCGTCGGCGACGCGTGTTCGACGGGCCACACGACGACGATCGACGGCGCGACGACGACGACGGAACTCGCGTACTCGCGGGACATCGCCGACTACTGCTGCGGCGACGCGGGGGGGGCGTGCGACGACGACGTCGCGAGCGGCGCGAGGGCCGCGGCCGCCGCGTCGGGCCTCGCCGCGGGCCTCGTCGCGGCCGTCTTCGTCTCGTGAGGAGGCGCAGCGGGGGCGCGGGACGTGACCCCCCGCTCGGGCGGACGCGCGCGGGAGACGCTAATAGAACATGTGCCATGGGGTGCGGAACTGGTCTCGCTGGCCCAGACCTTCCACAGCGCCTCCCGCCGGCAGGCTTGGCCGACGTAGATGACGCCTGTGCAGGGCTCGGTTTGCTTCAAGAAGGCTTCAAGGCAGCGGTATCTTATGAACAAACTTGTGAGATTCACGAGTTGTTTCTGGCCGGTTGGCTATGATGCGCCAGCGCAGCTACCTCGCGCTGGCCCTCGCGGCCTCCGCGGCCTCCGCCTTCGTGGCGCCGCGCGCCGCCGCGACCCGCTCTAGCCTGCGGTCGTCGCCGGACGTCGAGCCCGAGCCCGACGTGTCGTCGTTCTACGCCGCCCTGCGGTCCCGGTCCGAGGAGCTCGAGGACGCGTCGGCGACCATCCGGAGCCGCTGGACGTCCGGCGCCTGCGTGTCCCGCGTCGCCGTCGCCGCGGGCGACTGGGTGCGGCGCATGGCCTACGACGACGGCGTCGCGGCCTTCGGCACGGCGTCGGGCGGCGTCGGCGTCGCGCGCGTGTCGCGCGCCGTCGCGGACGCGCCGGCGACGGTGCCCGCGCACCCGCGGGCCGTCGAGGGTCAGGACCTGCGGCCGCTCCACGGCGACCACGACGGCGGCGGCGTGACGGCGCTCGCGCTCCGGGGGGACGTGTGCGCGTCCGGCGGCCGCGACGGCGCGGTCCGGGCCTTCGCCGTCGCGCGCGGCGCCGAGCCGCGCCTCGACGGGGCGCCGGCGACGCTCGAGCTCGCTAAAGACATCGTCGTCTCCGGCGTCGCCATCGGCGAGAGCGGCCGCGCGATCTACGCCGCGGGCCTCGACGGCAGCGTCAAGGCCTGGAATCGCGGCGACGACGGCGCGTGGTCCGAGGCCTGGAGCAAGAGCGCGCCGTCGCCCCTGCTCTGCGTCGCCCTCGACGAGCGGCGCGGCGCGCTCCTCGTGGGCAGCGCCTCCGGCGCCGCGCACGCCTACTCGCTCGCCGACGGGTCGCGGCTCGAGACGTGGCAGGCGCATCGCTGTGTGGAATTCAAATCTTCAACCCGACTTCAATGTGAGCTTATTCGAATGTTTTGACACGAGCACATCCGCTGTGTTTCGAGAACTCAATGAGAGCAATCGATTCGTCCAAAAATCAGCCGAATCGACTTCGATTTGATCGAGCTAGAGAATTCTCAAGTTTGGACCCAAACCAGCGGTTGAATTCCACGCAGGCGCACCGCCGGAGCGGCTGCCGGTCGCTCGTCGTGCTCGGCGCGACGGTCTACGCGGGCGCCAACGACGGCGCCATCTCCGCGGCGCCCCTCGAGGACGACGTCTTCAAGCTCCGGCCGCCGCCGCGCGACGGCTCGAGCCCGAAGCTGCTGCCGCCGCACGGCGACGCCGTCGTCGCGCTCGCGGCGACGCCCCGGGGCCTGCTCTGCTCCGCGGCGCGCGACGGGTCGCTGCGGGTCTGGTCCGTCGACGGCGCCCAGCCCAAGGCCCTCTACGGCTTCGGCGGCTACAAGGTCTGGATCGGCTCCCTCGCCGCGGACGACGCGACGCTGATCTCCGACGGCAGCGACAACGCGATCATCTGCCACAAGTTCGACGAGGCGCGGCCCGCGCCCGAGGCCTAGGGCGGTCCGCGCGGTTAAAAACAGGGCACCCCCAGGTCTAGCGGATGCGGAGCGTCTCCTTGCCCGCGGCGTCGCGCTGGACGCGGATCTTCGACGCGACGCGCTGCACGAATCCCAAACCCGCGTCGAGGTCCACCAACGCGAGGGACGGGAGCTTCATCGTCGCCTCGAAGGTCGCCCCGTCGTCGCCCTCGCAGGCGATGGCGATGTTGCGGTCGACCTTGGTGATCGTGATGAGGAGCGGCTTGCGCAGCGGGACCTGCTTCTTGTTGTGGAGGTCGAGCGGCTTGAGGTCGACGTCGAGCGGCGCCTGGGCAGCACAAGAGTGATTCAACGTTCGCTTCAACTTGAGTGTTCCGCGCGCGCGCGTTCCGGAAAAAAACATTCACGCTTCGAGACCGTCCCGAGAGATGATCGTCCGTCCAAAAATCAGCCGAAACGAGTGGAAAACGGCCGAGATATGAGCCTTTGAAGTTGGGAATTTCGCTCTCTTGTCCTGCCCCGAGCGGCGCGTCGCGTTCGTCGACGACGGCGACGTCGCGCCCGTCCTTGTGCATGGGCTCGCCCTTCTTCCAGGGGTCGTGGCCGTCGGCGCCGTCGTTGAGCGCCTTCTTGATGCCGCTCATCTGCGACACGAGCGACGCCTTGGCGCCGTCCGCGCTCTCGGGCCGTTTGCCGTCCGCGGACGGCGGCGCCTGCGCGAAGGGCACGAAGCCCAGCACGAGCCGCTCGTCGTCGTCCGGGTCCAACTCCAGCGTCGCGCAGTTCACGAGATCCCCGCAGAGGCGCTCGACCTGCGCGCGGTCCAGCGGCTGCACGTCGCCGTTGACGTCGAACTGCTTGTCGTGGAGCTCCGACAGGTGCTTCATCTGCCGCTCCTGCGCGAGCATCATGAAGATCTCCTGCGAGTCGAGCAAAAAGTCCTCCCAGAGAATCAGCCCGTCCTCGTCGCAGGGCGCGTGCGTCAGCACCGCGGAGATCTCGCCCCGGCTCAAATCCAACACCGTGATGGACCGGATGACCGCGTTGAAGTCGTCCGGCGTGATCGTGCCCGTGTCGCCGGCGTCGAAGCGGCGGAAGGCCGCCGTGAGCAGCTCCTCGAGGTCGTCGGCGCGGGCGCCCTTGAGCAGCGAGATGGACTGGGTCTTCACGGAGTTCGCGAGCGAGGACCGCCGCTTGAGCTTCGCGACGTCGAAGAAGTCCGCGATCATCGTCGACGCCTCGGCGGCGAAGCGCAATAAATCGATCATCTTCTCCGCGTCGTGGTCGCCGGCGGCGTCGTCGCCCGCGGGCTTGGCGCGCTTCGGCGACTCGCCGGAGCCGCCGGACGCGGACGACCGCGCGGGCGACCCCGGGCTCGCGGGCCGCGGCGGCGGCAGGCGCTCCGCGACGGCCTCGGGCGAGATCGTGCACTGGTCCTGGAGCGACATGACGGCCAGCAACTGCTGGCGGTTGAGGTGGAGGTGCTTGGCCGCGTAGAGCGCGCGGTAGACGTCGCGCGCGGGTAAAGCGCCGGGGTACGAGTCCTCGTCGAACTCGCCCGCGTCGCGGCGCCAGACCTTCTCCTGCTCGCCCAGGATCTGGCGCACGTGGAGCTCGAGCGACGACGCCGGCAGCTGCTCCAGGATCGCGCGTTTGGAGGTGGCGAGGTGGCACTCGAAGACGACGTCCTTGAAGCGCGTCGTCGGCGTGAGGTCGTCCAAATCGCTCGGCCGCATGCGCGCGGCGATGACATTAATCATCTTCGTGCCCAGGTTCGCCCGCGGCACGGCGAGGCAGCGGAGGAAGGCGCCGCGGCCGAGCCTCGGGTAGCTCGACATCGACTTGCGCTCGCCGCCGATCTCGACGACGGAGCCGACGCCCGCGCCGCCGGCGATGGACGCCTCGAGCTTGGCGGCCTCCCTGAAGGCGTGCTCGACGACGTGGATCGACTCCTCGAGCCCCTGGCGCTTGAGGTGCTGGTCCTCGAACGCGAGGTTCTTCGCCTTCGCCTCCCGCTCCTCCCAGTCGATGTTCGCCTGCTGCTTCGTCTGGTACGTCTGGAGGAAGCGGAGCATGACGGGCACGAACTCGGCGTAGGAAATCACGCCGTCCTCGTTCTCGTCGGCCTCGGCCATGAGCCGCGCCATCTGGTACTGCGTGAGCCCCAAATCCATGGCCTCGAGCATGCGGTGGAACTCCGTCGTGCCCAGGAACCCCTCCTGGTTCACGTCCGCGCGCCGGAACATCTCCATCAAGTTGATCTGCTCGCCCGCGAGCTCCGCCGTGAGCTGGGGGCTGAGCAGCCCGTCGAACGCGTGCGCGTCGACGCGGCCCGGCGCGTCGTCGTCGTCGTCGCTCGCGCCGTCTAAAGCCTCGTGCTTCGCCGCGTGGTCGATGTCCGCGTGGAGCTTGGACAGGTGGCGCTCCTTCATGAGGTGGACGAGGTGCTTGAACGTGAAGGCCATGAACTCCTTGCGGTCCACGAGGCCGGAGTTGTCCGCGTCCGCGACCACTAAAAGCGCGTCGATCTGGCCCCGGTCGATGCCCAGGTCCAAAGATTCGAGGCACATGGCGAACTCCTGGGGGTCGAGCTGGCCGCTCTCGTCCAAATCGTAGGCGTCGAAGAGCTGGTTGAGCTCCTTCGCGAGCTCGCCCTCGGACTTGCCGCCCATGACCTGTGTGGAAATCAAATCTTCAACTCGACTTCAATGTGCGCGTAATCGAACAATTTGGACCAGACTCTTTCGCTGTGCTTCGAGAAGCCGGCGAGAGCAATCGATCTGTCCAAAAGTCAGCCGAATCGACTTCGATTTGATTGAGATAGAGAGTTTGAAGTTTGGTGGGGGCCCCCCAAACCAGTGGTTGATTTCCACACTGCCCATGACCTTCTCCTGGGACAGGAGGCCCTTGGACAGGATGTCGATCTTCGTCTCCATCACGGAAGGGTCGAGCATGCGCTCGATGGTCTTGGACGCGACGGGCACGAACTTCCAGTAGTCGACCATGCTGTCCGTCATCCGCGCGTCCGACATCACCGACGTGATCTGGAGCTTCGACAGGCCGAGCTTGGGCGACCCCAGGACCGTGAGCAGCTGCTTCGCCGTGATCGTGCCGACGTAGGCGGGCTCCTCGCCGTCCTCGAGGTTCACGTGGCCGCTGTTCGCGGCGTCCAAATCCATCTTGATCTGCTCCTGCTCGCGGCAGAGGTCGAGGAGCAGCTTCGCCGTGTCCGTCGCCTTGGCCTCGACGATCGCGTTGCGGATGCTGTTGTACTTGACCTTGTAGAGCACGTCCTTGAACTTGGCGTAGACGATCTTCGAGAAGGCGTCGACGGGCATCGTCGCCATGATCATGTTCTGCTCGCTCCGCGTCAGGTTCAGCGCCGACTCCTTGAGCCGCCGGCGGAACTCGGGCCGCGTGAGGCAGCCCGTGGACCGGCTGTCGGCCAGGAGGAACAGGGCCTCGGCGGCCTCGACGGACTGCTCGATCTCCGGGCCGTACAGCTTCTCGAGCGCCTCGTCGTCGACGGCCTTGTCCTCCGCGTCCAACGTCCTTTTGGCGTAGCGCCGCGCCTTGAACGACTGGATGAGGTCGATGGCCACGGGCATGAACTCGTTGTAGTTGATCTCCTGGTCGTCGTTCTCGTCGGCCTCCGACATGAGCAGCTGGAGCTCGCTGTGGTTGAGCCCGAGGTCCGCGTCCTCCATCAGCTGGTAGAACTCGTCGTAGGACAGGCTCCCGTTGCCGTTGTCGTCGCTCTCCTGGAACATCTTGAGCAGCAGCTCCTGGAGGTCGAAGGCGTCGTCCCAGTCCGTCTTGGCGATGTACTCCGAGCCGCCGTACTCCAACGTCGCCTCGGAGATGGTGATGGCGCGTTCGGCGATGACGTCGCGCGCCTCGTCGAGGCACGAGATCGTGAGCTGCGTGAGGATGTTGAAGGGCTCGCAGGCCTTGGCCTCGACGTCGCACTGGACGACGCCGATGCCCTTGACGACGAAGCTCTTGTAGGCCGCGCACATGACCTGGGGCGCCGTCGACGCCGCGGCCTCGCCCTCCTCGGCGGGCGACGCGCCCGCGGCGGGCGCGGGCGCGGGCCCCGGCGCGGCGTCGGCCTCGTCGGGCGCGCTCGACTCCTCCTTCTTCGCCGCCTCCTTCTTCTTCTTGCGCTTCTTCGGCGGCGGCTTGGCCTCCTCGCCGGCCACGGGCACGGGCACCGCGGGCTCGAGCGGCGGCAGCGTCGCGCCGCGCGCGCCCGCCGCGGGCTCCGGCGGCGGCGCCGCGGCGTCGGCCGACGCGCCCATGTCCAAACTCTCCATGGAGTTGGCCAGGCGCGACGCCCGCCCCCGCGGGGCCTTCATGAGGTGGCCCGCGGTGTGGTCCGTGTGCCGGAGCCAGATCACCTTCTCCTCGCGGCGCCGGCTCCGCGCGAAGGACTTGGCGCTGTAGTTGGGCTTGAGCATCTGGAGCCGCTTCAGGATCTGCACGTTCTCCCGCGAGATCTGGTCCGCGGCGCGGGCGCGGTGCGCCCGCTTGAGGCGATTCAGCGGCGGGCCGGACGGCCGCGCGCGCTCCTGGCGCTCGAGGCGCCGCCGCACGGCCTCGTCGTGGATCGTGTTGAGCTTGGCTAGAAGCTGCTGGTTCTCCTTCATCGTGCGCCGCCCCTCGAACTGGGCCTTGTAGTTCTTGGAGATCTTGCTGTCCAAAAACTCGTACTGCCGCGGCGGCACGCCGAAGGACGTCGTCGACGCGCTCCGCTCCATCTTGCCCCGGTGGAGGCTGTAGGCGCGCTCCACGGTCTTCTGGTTGCAGAGGTGGTTCCCCCGCGGCGGCTCCTGGTTGTGCTGCGGCGTGCTGCTCGGCGTCGCGCCGCTCATCATCGAGCCGCCGGCCATGATGCCCCCGGTCGTCGCCGGCCGTCGGCTCGGCGTGAAGTAGACGAAGCCACCGATGCTGAAAGCGCGGGGGGTCCACTCGTCGCCGCCGGGCACCGCCCGGGCGACCGGCGCCGGCGAGCGGGCTCGCAGCAGGGGCTGCCCACGACGGCGCGCTCACAACAGCGCCTCGCGTTGATTGTCTCGGGGTTCACCTTGCCTCTCCGCCTATTCACTCGACGGCACCTTGAAGCGTCTACCGAGCGCCGCCGGGGGTCGCCGCGACCGCCCGAACTCCCGGTCGCGTCACGCCCCCAACCCCGAGCCCCCCCTTTGAAACACCCGAAACTAGCGCGCGGCGAGCTCCGTCGCGCGGCTCCGGCCGCCGAGCGTGCGCGCCATGAGCTTGTGGAAGAGGATCGCCGCGCCCGGCGCCGCGCCGTCGAGGTGCGCGACGGCGTCGTAGGGGAGCCGCAGGAGGCGCGCGGCCGCGGCGGCCGCGAGCGTGAGGCGCCGCTCGGGCGCGGCGTGCGCCGCGGCGTCGGGCGCGTAGTAGGCGTTGACGCCGACGACGTTGCCCCGGCCGAGCTTGCGGACGCAGCGGTCGCCGCGGAGCAGCCGGAGCCGGCCGCCCGCCACGAGGTAGAACGCGTCGTCGACGGCGTCGCCGCGGCGGTAGACGAGCTCGCCCGCCGCGTAGTCGCGCACGCCGGCAAAGGGCGCGAGCGCGGCCACGAGCGCGTCGGCGCTCGCGGGCGCGCCGAAGTCGCCGTTCGCGCCGACCCAGTCGCGGAGGAGCGCCGCGCACCGCGACGTCGCCGCGGGGCTCGACCGCGGGCTGCCCGCCGGCGCGTCGTCGCCGACCGACGACAGGCTCGCGGACCGCGACCGCGCGCCGTCGGGCGTCGGCGACGAGGAGCTCGCGGCCCGCGGCCGGGCCCCCGGCGACCGCGGCGCCGCGGCGGCGATGAGCGCGTCCTCGCAGAGTTCGAGCGCGTCGTCGGCCGAGTCGTGGAACGTCGCCGCGTCCAGGGCCTTGGCGAGCGCCGGCAGCCGCGGCGCGACGGCGACGCGGAACCCGCGCGCGTCGCCGAGCGCCTCGAGCTGCCGGAACGCGGAGACGGCCGTGAAGTCGAGCGACCCGTAGCACTGCCGCAGATCCAGGACGAGGTGGCCGACGCGGTCGCCGCCGCGCAGCCGCTCGTGGACGACGGCCAGGAGCTCCGCCGCGGACCCGAAGAACAGGTACCCCCGGAGCGTGAGGAAGAAGATCTCGTTCCCCCGCGCGTCGAGGCACGCGGCCTCGCGCGGCTTCCGCTCGATCGTCGACCGCACGTCGGCGCCGGACGCCGCCGCCGCGACGACGGACGTCTGCGACAGCCGCAGCGCCGTGCCCGCGAGGCAGAGCACGACGCCGACGGCGACGGCCTCGAGGAGCGACGTCGCCGCGGCCGTGACGACGACCGCGAGCACCGTGCACAGGTCCTCGCCGCCGACGAGGTCGCGGCGCCGCAGGGGCGCCAACAGATAGGTCTCGACGTAGTCCCAGCCCAAATCCAGCAGCAGCGCGCCGTAGACGAAGCGCGGCACGTACTTGAGCACGCCGAACCCTAAAAGCCACGCGGCGAGGCAGCACGCGGGGAGCAGCGACCCGACGCCGCGCTTCGACGCGCCCAGGTGCTGCGCGAGCTTGAGCGCCGAGAAGGAGTAGGCCGTGCCCTGCGCGCCCAGGAGGCTCGCGGCGACGTTCGCCGCGCCGATCATGGCCATCTCGCCGTCGACGTCGACGTCCTCGTCCGGAAACAGCGACGGGAACGCGCCCGTCTTGATGCCGATCTTGATGGCGCCGATGAGCACCGCGGCGCCGACGACGCCGCGGCACTTGAAGACGACGTCCCAGCGCGCCGCGCGGAGGAACGCGCCGTAGCCCGCGGCCGCGCGGCGCAGCAGCGCCGCCGCCGCGCACGCGGGGTCGCCGCCGCCGGCGAGCGCGCAGTCCGCGAGCGTGCGGATGAAGGGCACGGCCTTGACCTCCTCGACGGCCGGCGCGTCGTCGTCGTCGCGCGGCGCGTGCTTCGGGCCGCCGAGCGACTCGATGTCGAAGAGTGGCGACCAACCCCGGGCCTTGTCGAGCATGGAGTTGTCCCAGTCGAAGCGCGCGCCGACGAAGGCCGCCTCCTCCTTCGACGCGCCGCGGTACCAGAGGCCGGCTTCTAAAAGCAGCGTGCCGACGAGGACGACGAGCACGGGCGGCGCCCACGTCGGCGCGCGCGGGAAGAGCCGCCGGCCCGCGCGCGCGCCCGCGGCGAGCCCCGTCGCCAGCGCGAGCCACGCCGCGCCCAGCGGGAACGACACGCGGAAGCCCCCGAAGGCCGCGACGTGCGCGCCGCTCTTGAGCAGCGAGACGCCGATGGACGCGAGCATGCCCGACGTCACCTGTGTGCAAATCAACCGGTGAGCTGGGACGTCGGGGCCAAACTTTGAAATTCTCTAGCTCGGTCAAATCGAAGTCGATTCGGCTGATTTTTAGACGGATCGATTGCTCTCGTCGAGTTCTCGAAGCACTGCAGAAGAACTTGCGTCAAAACGGTCGCGTACGCTCCAATTGAAGTCGGGTTGAAGATTTGATTTGCACACGGGACGTCACGGGGTACGGCAGGAAGTTCAGCGCCTTCGTCAGCCGCAGGCGCCCGAGCGCGAGCAGCACGACCCCGCAGAGCGCGAAGATGAGGCTCGACGCCGCGACGAACGTCGCGACGAACGCGCGGCGCTCGCCCGCGGTCACGCGGAGGTACGACGACCGGCCGTCGGCGCCGAAGGACCACGGCCGGCCGTACGTGCCGTTGAAGCCGACGATCTCGTTCCAGCACAGCTCCGCGAGCTGCGCCAGGAGCGGCGCGAAGCTCACGTCGACGGACGCGACGCACCAGGGCACGCGGCTCCGCTGCGCGAAGTAGAGCCCCGTCGCGGCCGTGCCGAGCAAGGCGCCGTCGACGCCCACGTAGACGAGCCGCGGGTCGAGCTTGCCGAAGACGGACTGGGCCGTGGAGACGTAGATGACGCAGGTGACGAGGAAGGCGACGCAGGACGCGAGGCCGTCGACGCGCGGCTGCGCGGAGCACGCCCACGCGGCACCGGCCCGGAGGCCCGCGAACGGGCGCCGCGCGCGCGGCGCCCCGCGCGGCGGCGCCGCCGCCTCGGGCGACGCCTCGACGTCGTAGGCGAGCCGCCGGCCCTCGCGCGCCTCGCCGTCCGCGCGCGCGCCCGTCCGCAGGAACTCGAGGCGCAGGTACGCGGTCAGCGCGCGGCGGTGGCCGCGCGGCCGCAGCTCCGGCGTCGGCGCGTCGCCGAAGGACGCGTCGTCGGCCGCCGGCGTGCGCGGCGACGGCAGCAGCCCGACCGCCGCGCGCCGGTCGATCTCCTCGCCCGTGCCCACGGCGCGCAGCTGGTCCATGGTCAACGCGTCGCCGCCGTCGCGCCGCCGCTCGAAGGCGCAGCGCAGCTCCTCTTGCAGGCGGCGCATGATGCGAGTGGTGCGGCAGCGATGCAGCAACGATGCAGTAGCAGCGAGAACTTGCACCGGCAGCCGCTCTCAGGTCATGTCAAATCTTGTTTGGGATCAACCATCGTGTGCATCCGGCACGGAAATCGCCGCAGCGCGGCAAGCCGTTGAGTTTTTGAAGTAATTTTTGCCGCACTCTTGGCACACACGCTGCCCGGATGGCCTCCGGGCGACGCCGAAACGAGCGCGCAGACCCAACGACCCACCGGCGAAAGAAAGTAGACAGGGCGGGGGCGCGCGGTTGGGTCTTTTCCGCGGTCGCGCGCGAGCGGGGCGTCTAGGACGAGTACTGCTTCTTCTTCGTGAGGTTGACGGTCTCTCGCTTGAGGACGTGGAGGAGCGTCTGCGACGACTCGAGGATTTTCATGTACGCGGCCTCCGTCTCCTGGATCGTCTTGTCGTACTCGTTCCGCGCCATGACGCGCCGCGCGAGCGCCTCGTTGATTTTCGACAACCGGTCCGTCAGGATGCTGCGCGGGGGTCGCGCGTCGAGCGGCGCGTCGAGCGGCGCGCCGGCGGCGGGCGCGCGGCCCCCGGGGGGCTCGCGGGGGTCCCGCGCGCGCGCGGCGGCGGGCGGCGAATCGGAAGCGTCGGGGCCGCTCACCTGAGATCCTTCTGGATCTTCGCCTTCTCCTCCTCCTCCTTCAGGATCGCCGTGTTCACCTGCGGCGCGGCGGCGCGTCGGACCGCGGCGCGCGGGGCGGCGGCGGCGCGGCGGCCGCCGACGGGCGGCGCCAAAACGACGGACGCGCGCGGCGCGTCGGACGCCGGCGGCGCACGGCTTCGCGCTTCTCGCGCAGATCCTCGATGCACTTGACGAGCTCGTTGTTGTAGTTCTGGAGCGTCGCGCCCTGGGACGCCATGGCCACCAACCGACGAGGGCGCGAGGGCTTGTTACAAGTAGCTCGTCGTTGTGTGGCCCGGCTCGAGGCGCAAAGTTGCTTGTTTGGGATGCCGTGGTGGTGCACCGAACAGCCCACTGGCAGCAAGGCTGCACAAGTAGGGGCCCCACCGCCTACAAGTCAATTACAAGTCACGACGCTACCCCGACGCCCCGGCGCGTCCCCGCCTAGTAGAGCCCCGCGTCGTCGGGGAGGATCGTGTCGTCGAGGGCGAACTTGGCCCAGGGCACGGCGTCGTCGTAGGGCGGCGGCGCGCGGTCGAGGCGCGCGTCGAGGTCGCCCGGCCCCGCGGGCACGCCCGCCTCGAGGAGCCGCGTGATCCAGGGGACGTCGTGGGCGACGTAGGCCTGGTACCACTTGCGCACGGCGCCGCGCCGCAGGGGCAGCAGCCGCCGCCGGCCCGGGACCGGCGGCGCGTGCTCGAGCGCCGTCCGCAGCGCGACCTGGGCAGGAAACAAAAATATTCAACGCGACTTCAATATGAATGTATTCGCACGATTGTGACATAGTTTTTCACTGTCTACAAAGAACCCGCCGAGAGAAAACGATCCGTACAAAAATCAGCCGAATCGACTTCGATGTGACCGAGCTCGAGAGGTTTGAAGTTTTTGCTGGACGGGGCGTTCCACTGGTTGTTTCCGGCACAGAGCGCGACGGGCAGCGCGGGCCGGGTCACGACGTCGCCCTCGACGGCCGTCAGCGGCTCGAGCACGTCGAGCTCGTAGGGCGCGAGCGGCGGCAGGAAGAGCGCGTCGCCCGGCCGGAGCCGCGCGACCATGACGCGGTCCGGCCCCGCGAGCTCGCCGTCGAAGAGCGACGGCGGCCCGCGGCCCAGCGCGTCGCAGTCCGGCGGCGCGGCCGCCCGGGGCGCCGCGGCCGTCGCGTCGCGCGCCGCGGCGAAGGGCCGCGCGCACCGGCTGTCGCGGAAGTGGCGCCGGAGCCACGCGTCGTGGTCGCGCTCCGCCTGGAAACGGGCGATTCAACGTCGCGTCAACGTGAGTGACCCGCGCGCGCGCGTTCCGGAAACAGCGTCCGCGCTACGGGAACGCTCCGAGGGACGATCGCTCGTCCAAACATCGGCCGAAACGAGCGGCGCGCGGCCGAGAGAGGAGCCTCGGGGACGTCGCGCCCTGTTCCCGCGCCGCGCTCCGCGGCGCCGAGGCCGCCCTCGTCGAGCACGCGCACGTCGGCGAGGCCCTCGGAGACGACGATCCAGCGCGCGAGGCCGCCGCGCGCGACGGCCGCGGCGACGCGCGACCCCGGCGACCGGATCGTCAGCCGCGGCGGCGACGCGAGCGCCGCGCCGACGGCGTAGCGCGGCACGGCGACGGAGTCAAGCAGCTCCGGGCAGAGCGCCGTGAGGTCCTCGGAGGCGAGGAAGACCTGGTCGACGTTGAGCGCGCGCGGCCGCGCCGCGGAGCCGTTCCGCGTGCCGTTGGCCTTGTGGCGCAGCGCGTCGACGTAGTCGCCGAGCGACGCGCCGAAGCGCGCCGCGGCGTCGTCCCAGACGAGGCCGCCGCGCGCGTCGGGCCCGCCGTCGAGGCGCGACAGCCGCGGCCGCCGGCGCCCGCAGGCCCGCGCCGCGTCCGCCGCCGTCGGCCGCGCGGCGGCGAAGCCCTCGACGACGACGGGCGCGGCGCCGTAGGCGTCGAGGAAGCGGTCGATCGACAGCTCCGCGGCGCGCTCCCGGGGCAGCCGCTCCGCGGCCGTCGCGCGGCCGAGCGCGCGGTTCCGCAGCGCGGCCGCGCGCGCGCGGAGGGCCCGGACGTCCGCGAGGCACCGGGCGATGCGCGCGGACAGGCTCCGCCACTCGACCTCGTCGCGCGGCGCGACGATGGCCTCGAGGTGCGCGCAGCCGCCCTCCATGACGTCCGCGAGGCCCCGGAGCTCGCGGCCGAGCTCGCCGAGCTCGCCGCGGTAGCCGCGCGTCGCCTCGACGCCGACGCGCGCGAGCCAGATCTCCGCGAAGCCGTCGTCCTCGCCGAATTTCGCGAGGTGGCGGAACGCGCCCGCCGCGTCGCGGTAGCTCCCCTCGGCGACGCGCGCGAAGGCCGCCGCCGACGCCTGGCCCAGGCCCTCCTCGCGGTAGCGCCGGTGCTGCGCCTCGCGCGACCGCGCGTGCAGCGCCACCGCGACCGCGACCGCGACGACGGCGCCGGCCCACCACGCGAGCGCCCGCAGGCCCACGAGCCCGTAGAAGACGGCGGGCCGCGCCTCGGGGCCGAAGGCCTCGTCGAGGCTGAGCTCCCGGTCGCCGTCGCCCTCGGCCGGCGCGGGCGCCGCGCCCGGCGCGTCGCCGGCGTCGCCGTCCGGCGGCGGCTCCTCCGACGGCTCGAGGCTCGGCCGGTCCTTCGACCGCCGCCGCCGCGGCATGGCGCGTTGGTGTTTGATCCGAGAGGTTGTTTGTGGCGATTTGTGAATGGATTTTGAAGATGAGAAGGCGCGTTTGGGCGCGGCCGAGAGGTTGCCCAGGTTTGCGACTGGGTTGCGATTCGTGTGCGACAGCAACTTAATTAACGATGCCTCAAGGTGCCTCAAACTTGCCCAGGTGGAATCACACGTCGCGGGCTGTGGCGCGCGGATCGTGCGCTCGCTCCGCCGAGTGTGTCTCAGACAGCGTCGCAGTCATGCTGCGGCGTCTCCTGCGCGTCGCGCTGCTCGTCGTCCCCGCGGCGCGCGCCCTCCGCGTGCCGGCGACGCGCCGGGCCTTTGGCGTCGGCGCCGGCGCGGCGGTCGCCAGCGCGGCGCTGCCGGCGCCCGGCCGCGCGGCCGAGGAGCCGCCCATCGACATGGACAAGATCCGCGCGCTCGCGGCCAAGAAGCAGACCATGGACCTGCGCGTGCCGACGCAGGCCGACCCGCGCGACCGGGCGCTGCGGGTCGTCGTGCTCGCGAGCAACGGCGCCGTGCTCCGCCTCGAGCCCGACGAGGTCAAGGAGATGGAGCGCGTGGGCTTCCTCGTCAAGGACGGCTTCCGCGGCCGGGCGCCGGACTACCTGAGCCTCCGCGACTTCCAGCCCCGGGACTGGTATTCCGCGCCGCTGAGCTCCGTGTGGGAGAACGGCGTCGACCGCTTCAAGGCGGTTTCTGAGGGCCGCGACTACGCCGCGGATGTTGAGGCCAAGGCCCGAGCGCTGCGCACGTCCGTGGCCGAGAAGGCCGCGGCCGTCGGCGGCGACCCGCCACCGGAGGGGTGGCTCGCGCCGGTCGCGGACGACGGCACGATCTGCGGCTACGGCCGCTACGCGACCAAGTGCGCGGACCCGACGCCGGGCCAGGTCTTCATCAAGAGCGCCGTCGAGGGCACGTCGCCCAAGGGCATCGCGCCGCCGGAGAAGATCGTGTTCACGCCGCTCGTCGAGACCCTCTCCAAGAAGTTCGCCGGGGCTAAGTAGGACGCTCTTCTTCGACGAGGGCGGCGCGCCGAGCCCGCGTCGGCGCGCGGCGGCGGGGGCCGCCGTCGCACCGCGAGGCGTCGCGTGCGCCGCGGCGCGCGGCGACGGACGAGGAGGCCGAGGCCTGCAGCTCGAGCTCGAGCAAGCGCGAGGAGCAGAGCAAGGCCGTGAGCAGCGGCAATCGCTCCGGCGCATACGCGCCGACGCGCCGTCGCGAGATCGTCGACCGCATCGCGCGCGCGCGTCAGGACTGCATCGTCCGTCGCCGCCGCCGTCGACGGCGGCGCGAGCGAGCTGCCTGCGGCGAATGGCCATGGACACGACGGACGACGGCGGCCCGTCGCCGGGCCTCGCCGGCTTCAAGCGCGGCTTCCTCGACGACGGCAAGCCGCCGGACCCGGCCGCGAGCCTCCGCGAGCTCCTCGCGTGTCCCAAGGAGCCCGCGGCGCCGCCGCCGCCGCCGGCCGCGTCGGCGGCGCCGCGGCGCGAGGCCTACCCCGTCGACCCGGACTGGCAGCACCGGAGCTGGTGGGAGCAGTGGACCGACGAGCGCGAGGACGTCTTCGACCGCGAGTGGTTCATCAGCGAGCCCGAGGAGGAGCCGCCGGACGTGCCCGAGGACTTTCTCGCGCTCGCGTTCGAGGACATCGACATCTCGAAGATCCCCGGCGTCGAGACCGTCGAGCGCGACGGCGAGGTCTACACGGTCTACGAGGCCGAGCTCCTCGACGCCTTCGCCAAGGCCAAGGCCGCGGGCACGGACGCGGAGCGGCGCGAGGCGGAGCTGAAGGCGCAGCAGGCGGCGATCGCGGAGCGGCAGCGCGCGCAGACCGCGCTGAAGCGCAAGACGGAGGCGCTCTCGAAGCCCCTGCAGCTCGCGCCGGAGCGGAAGGAGCGGAAGCGGCTGTCCGTCGAGAAGCCCGGCGCGTCGCTGCTCGTGGCGGCGGCGGCGGCGGCGGGCGCCGCGGGCGACGGCCCCGCGCGGCGCGCGGCCGGCGGCGGCGGCGCCGCGGCCGCGCCGTCGGCGTCCGTGCCCAAGCGGCCCAAGCGCGAGAAGCTCGAGGAGGAGGCCGTCGAGGGCGCGAGCTCCTGGGACGCGCTCGACCCGGCGGGCGTCGTCGCCTTCGGCGGGTTCCCCTGGAGCTCCTCCGCCGCGGACGAGGCCCTCGAGCTGCCGCTCCCCGGCTTCCCGGCGAACGACACGCTCGTGCTCCGCGTCTCCGTGCCGGCGACCTCCGACATCTGGGCGCTCAACGTCGTGCCGCGCGACCACGACGACGGCGCGACGCTGCTCTACCACTTCAACCCGCGGCGCAAGGAGCGCGGGGGGACCCTCGTGGAGAACGACAAGTTCGACGACGACTGGGGGCGCGCGTCCAAGGTGTCCCTGCCGCGGCGGCCGCCGCTCTTCGGGCTACAGGAGGCGGAGCTCGTCTTCAAGCTCCGGGCGACGCCGGGCGCCGTCGACGTCCACGTCACCGTGGACCGCATCCAGGCCTGCGCCTGGCGCCTGCGCTGCGACCTGCCCGCGTCGGACCTCGCGGTGCTCGTGCCGACGACGGACGACTTCGGCAACAGGGAGGACATCACGATCCACTCGGCCTGGTGGGGCAAGCTCGGCATGCTCCCGACGCACCGGCCGCCCCAGGTCCGGCGCTAGCGCCCCGTCCGTCGTCGCGGGGGGCGCCAGTCATTAAGGGGCTGCCTCGACTCGGACTCGGCGTCGTCGTCGTCGGCGTCGTCGTCGCCGGAGCCGCCGGAGACGACGTCGTCGGAGCCGCCGGTGTCGTAGGCGTCGTCGAAGTCGGCGTCGTCGAAGTCGTTGGAGGACCATCGCGCGGGCCGGTCGCGCTCGCCCGTGTCCGCGCAGAAGATGCAGTTGAACAGGGACGGCTCCCGCGGCGCCGCCTTCGGAGACGCCTCGGAGGAGCGGCGCGACCAGACCGACGAGACGTCGGACGGCGCCGACGCGAGGCCGACGTAGCGGCGCGTCGTCGCGACCAGGGGGTTCGCGCGCTGGCGCGGCTTCGAGCCCCGCCTCGCGGTCCGGAGCGACCGCAGCGGGCCCCGCGCGGGGTCCCGGGCGGCCGTCGTCGGCGTCGCCGGGTCGTCGAGGCCGAGGACGTCGAGAGATCGCGCGCGTCCGTCGCCGCCGCCGCCGTCCGCGTCCCGAAGAATCCCCGCGTAGAAGTCGCCCGTCGTCGTGCCGGCCTCGTCGGCCGCCGCCGCCTCGACGCACGCGCGCGCGAAGCCGCCGCGCCGGAGCTTGGCCGCCTCGACGCCGCCGTAGTGGTAGAGGAATGCCGCGCAGACGTGCGCGTCGTGCTGCACGGCGAGGTGGAAGAGCGACCTCGCGCGGGCGTCGACGGCGCCGCGCGCCCAGTTCCGCGAGCCGACGTATGCGAGCTCGCGCCGGAGGTCGTAGAGGCTGTCGCGCTCGACGGCGTCGACGGCCCGGTAGAAGCGGTCCCGGGCGTCGCGGCCCGGGCCGAGGCCCAGGGACTCGGAGTTGATCATCTCCGCGACGGGCTCCGTGCCCTCGGCGAACCACCGAGCGGCGGCGGCGGCGCAACTCGCCCCGGCCGCGCGCGCGCGGCGCGACGCGACGGGCCGCGCCGCGCTCGTCTCCTCGAGCAGGTCCCGGGACACGTCGCCCGAGAGCTCGATGCGCTTCGAGAGCGTGACCGCGTGCGCGTGGGCCAGGTCCCGGTCCTCGATGTCCTGGTCGAACGCGTCGGCCCTGCCGGATTCGTAGAACGACATGACGCGTCGGAACTCGCGCCGCTCCCGCCGCTCCTCACTGCGCTTCAGGCCGTGGGCCTTCAAAAAATCGTAGATGGCATACATCGGCGAGTGACCTCGCAACTATTGCGGAGGCCGCCAGCCCTATGAGCTCAGTGGTAATTTTTCAGTGCACGATCGCCGATCTGGAGCCCCAAACGCTAACATTAATCCCACCCGAGCACGCGCGAGAGCACGGGCGCGGCGGCCTCGTACATGGCCGCGTGGCCGCCGACGCCCGGGTGGTTCGCGCAGCCGTCGCAGAGGTCCGCGGCGCTCTCGTGGCGCGCGAGCCCCGCGCACGCGTCGCGGAGGTCGACGAAGGTCGCTTTCAGGCCGAGGTCGCGCGCGCGGCGGACGGCGTTTAGCGTCGCGTCGGCCGTGCGGTTCTCCATGGGCCCCGCGCTCAGGAAGAAGTCGACGGCCCGCGAGCCGTAGAACTCGGTCGCGTTGACGAGGAAGTCGACGGACGCGTCCGCGAACTGTTCCATGTCCGCGGCCGTCTTGATGCGGAGGTTGTCGTTCGTGCCCAGGTTCACGAAGACGGCGTCGGGCGGTTCCGCGAAGTCGAAGGTCCGCGCCGGCGCGTCCGCGTAGAAGGCGGACCCGTAGTAGTCGGGCATCTGGAGGCTGGCGCCGCAGCGCTCCGTGACGCACTTGCCGCCGACGGCGACCGCGGACGCCGCGGCGTTGAAGCGGCGCGCGAGGAGGCCCCCGTAGCTTTGGGACCAGTCGCTCTCGTAGCCCTCGTCGGCGCACGCGGCCACGCCCGGGGGGCGGACGACGTTCGTCGCCGCGGTGATCGAGTCGCCGACGAACTCGATGGAGCGCCCGTCCGCGCCGCCGAGCCGCTCCGCGGGCGCGAGGGCGGCGAAGGCGCCGTCGGTCTCGAAGCGGCGGACGGTCGTGACGCCCGTGCCGTACTGGGGCGACACGAGGTTCTCCACCGTCGCGATCACGTCGCGGGGCCGCTCCGCGAGCCACAGGGCGTACGCGTCGGAGCCTACCGAGGGCGACGGGGTCGGATTGCTTCGCGGGCGAGCGTCGATCGAACGCGAGGGCGACGGGGGTGGATCGCTTCGCGGGCGAGCGCCGATCGAACGCGCGCGCGCGTTCGCCGGACGCCGGTCGGAGCCGCCGCGGGCGTCGACCCAGAACTGGACCGTCGGCATCATCAGGTAGCCCGCGTCGGAGCCGTAGGCCTTGAGCCGCGTGCCGCGGAACGGCGCGCTCGTGGCGACGACGGCCCGCACGAAGGTCGCGTTGACCACCTTGACGCGGGCGGCGACGCCGACCCAGTCGAAGGACACCTGCCCCGACGCGGAGCCTCTCCGGCGCCCCGCCCAGCTCACAAGGGCATCGCCGGCGTCGAGGCGCGTCGCCGACGCGGCGCGGAGGGCGGCGACCAGGAGAATGGGCAAGCGCATCGTTCGGGGCTGCATCGTCGGGTTCATCGTCCCTGCTCCTTGGCTTCGCTTGGCTGCTCGTCGCGTCGTCGCCGCCGCTTCGGCACACGCGAGGATCTGAACCAGGCGCGCCGGCGCCGCGTTGCCGACGATGAGTTCGCTCGTGGAGAAGACGAGCCGCAAGGAGTACCACGACCGCTGGGACGCCATCGCCCGCGAGGAGACGGCCAAGGTCGAGGACGAGGAGAAGGCGGACGCCGACGCGTCCAAGGAGGCCCTGGGCACGGACAGGGGCCCCAATTGCGAAGCCGAGGCGCTGGACCTCGCCGCGCGCGAGAAGCTCAAGGAGGCGAAGCGGGCCGTCGAGCGGCGCCAGGCCGAGGAGCGGGCCATGGAGCTCGTCGTCGGCGCGGACGCGGGCCCGCGGACGACGATCGACGCCGCGGCGCTCGGCGACCGCCGCGTCGTCGTCGTCCGCGGCTGCCGCGACGCGCGCGTGACCCTCGCCGCGGACCTCGCGCCCAAGCTCATCAAGGTCTTCGTCTCGGACTGCCGCGACTGCGCGCTGTCGCTCGAGTGCGGCCTCGTGACGTCGTTCGTCGAGGTGAGCCGGTGCGAGCGGTCGACGCTCTTCGTCCGCGCGAAGCTGCACACGGTGCAGTGCGACCTCTGCGTCGACTGCACGATCGCCTGGGCGTCGCCGGCGCTCTTCGACGCCGCGGCGCCCGAGGGGCCCCGGGTCTTCTCCGCCGCGTGCCGGGCGCTCGTCGTCGACGCCGGCGGCGGCCGCACGTCGACGGCGGAGAACCTGGACGACGCGCTCCCGGACAGCGGCGTCCGCGCCGACGAGCAGCAGTTCGTCACGGCCTGCGTCGGCGGCCAGCTCCTCACGGAGCGCGTCGTCGCCGGCGGCACGTCGACGCGCCTCGTCGGCGCGACGGCGCGCGACCTCGAGGCCGAGGGCGCCGCGGCGCCCGCCGGCGACCTCGCGGCGGCGGCGGACCGCGACAAGTGCGCGGGGAACCAGGCCTTCGGGAACCGCGAGTACGCGCAGGCGGCCGTCCACTACACGATGGCGCTCGAGTCGGGCGGCACGGCCCCGGCGGGCCGCGGCGCGGCCGTGCTCTACGCGAACCGCAGCGCCTGCTTCCTCAAGCTCGGCGACCACGCCAAGGCCCTCGCCGACGCCGACGCGTCCGTCGCCGCCGACGGCGCCTACTGCAAGGCCCACTTCCGCAAGGGCCTCGCGCTCCACGCGCTCAAGCGCTACCGGGACGCGCTCCCGGCCCTCGCCCAGGCCCAGAAGCTCGAGCCCAAGAACAAGCAGATCGCCGAGGCCCTCAAGTTCGCCGAGATGCGCCTCGCGCGCGGCTAGCGCAAGGGGGTAAACACCGGTCGTTGAACGGGTGTTGAATTTCCAGACTCTGAAATGCGAGCACGATGAGCTGCGCTTCTCCCAAAACGCGGCGGCGCACGCTGACGGGTTTACTGTCGCGTCTTGATCGGCAGATCGTCCGCGACGTCTTTTCTTTCGCGTCCGCGACGTAATACGCGGACGCTGCTCCGCCGCGCGACGCGCGATTTGCAGCCTTATCCGAGGAATACGATTTGGGACCAGGACGCGAGCGACCACGAGGGGTCCGACGACTGGGTTCCGCTCTCGGGCCAACCCAACAAGTATGCGAAACGAGTACGCTCGTTTGTGCCTCAGAATGCGGAGCGGTTCGACGCGCTCCTCGCGACGGTCGGCATGGCGTCGCTGCGCGGCGTCTCGAAGGTTTTTCGCGACATCATCGACGAGATGGCGGCGCGCGAGCACCTCGCGGAATTCGGGGTCTGGCATGTGGAAACGGCGATTCCTGCGAACGCCGTCGAGGACTACATTCAGTTGAAAGATGACCCGCAGGCGCGGAACGCCATCCTTCTCCGGCGTGGCGCACCATGGGCTGCGCTCGCGGACCGCGTACGCGCTGTTGTCGCGCTCATGACGGCAATGCTCGCGCACGATCCTCCTTGGGGTCCTGACCTAAGCAAAAGCCTCCACGGAAAATACATCAGATGGCAACACCAACAGATGAACGCGCTCGCGCGGGCATTCATGAAGACGGGCTGGACGACGCCATGGGTCATGGACGCGCATGACATCTACATAGACAGAGGCACCACCATCGGAGGCACCACCATCGACTCGCGGCGCATGCGCGCGTACGAGTTTGACACGTACGAATTCGACACCGACGATCCGCGCTGCGTCGCCCTGCGCGCGTTTGCGGTCTCGCTGGCCCCGCCGTCCAGCGCGGGCGAGATCGGCGATTTGCCTCCTGGGAGGGCCGAGGAAGCCGTCCTCTTCCGGGGGATGGGCCAACGGAATTCTCTGGTTGTGGGAACTGACCCATCCTCGATTGAGCCACCAGTGGCACCACACTTTCTCACGTCTTTCTGCGCCTTCTCGTTCAGGCCGAACGACGACGACTTCACGACGCGAGTGGACGACGAAGACTGCTGCTCACTGGGATATCATAGCCGGCGGGGTGGCTATGCCGTGCGCGTCGCCGACCTCCGCGAGCCCGAAAGCGGGTCGGTCGAGAGCGTGCGGCGATGGGACCAGTTCTGGGCAGAAGAAGAGGACTCGGATCGAGACTACGACGACGACTTTGACTCAGTGTCTTCGCATGTCGACTACGCCTCGTTCGAGAATCCTTTCGCTGACCGGCTCCCACCGATCGTCCTCGACACGGTCCATTTTGAGATGAACGGGGCCTCAGCTGAAGTCCGCCTCGAGTTTCGATTTGCTGAGTGCAGCGCTTGCGGCATGCACCTCTACAGCCTCTGCCTACACGTCTGCGGCCAGATCCGTCTCCAGACGGGGGGCCTCTGCTTCAGCCGCCCCGACTTGGATGACGCGTAACCTTCCTTAGAGCAGCTCGCGACGGGCGCGCGCCGCGCGGCGCGGCTCGGGCGCCGAGGCCGACGCAGCCGTCGTCGTGCACGGCGACTCGATGATTGAAGCACATCGCGCTCCGCTCGAGCGCTCGCCGCATCTCGGCTCTCCCCGCAGCTCGTCGTCGGTGGCAGCGCGACCATGCAGATCGTGAAGACCGCCAAGTTCGGCGTCCTCGACGTCGATTGCCTCAAGCCTGCGGCGTCGTCGGCGCCGCGGCGCGGCGCGCACGTCGCGCCGACGGACGCGGCGCTGGCGTCGCTGACGGCGCCCGCGGGCGTCGCCGTCGTCACGGACGCGGGCGACAACGCCGTGCTGCTGAAGCTGGACGCCCTGGGCATCCCGCACCAGACCTACAAACACGCCGCCGTGCCGACCATCGAGGCCCAGTCCGCGGCGCTGGTGTCGCTGCCCGGGCGGCTCACGAAGAACCTGCTCCTCAAGGACAAGAAGGCGGGCACGTTCCTCGTCACCGTCGCCCACGACCGCGCGGTGAACATGAAGGAGCTGCCGGGCCTCCTGGGCATCGCGAAGAACGCGAACCTGCGGCTCACGGACCCGGCGGTGCTCGGCGTCGAGAAGGGCTCGGTGTCGCCGTACGCGGCGCTCAACGACGGCGGCGGCGTCGTCACCGTGGCCCTGGACGCGTCCCTGGCGCCCGGCGGCGGCGACGGGTCCAACATCCTCACGCACCCGCTCCGCTCCGACATGACCGTGTCCGCGAGCCCGGCGGACCTCGTCAAGTATCTCGCGGCCGTCGGCCACGCGCCCAAGATCGTCGACTTCGGGGGCGCGCCGGCCGCGCCGGCCGCGGCGGCGCCCAAGGCGCCGAAACCGCCCAAGGCGCCCAAGGCGCCCAAGGCGCCGAAGCCGCCCCAGGCGCCCCAGGCCGGCGGGCGGAACAAGAAGGGCTCGAAGGAGACGCTCGACCGCATCGTCGCGTCAAAGGCCGGCGACTTCGCGACGTGGTACGGCGAGGTCATCACCAAGTCGGAGATGATCGAGTACGGCAAGATCTCCGGCTGCTACATCCTCCGGCCCTGGTCCTTCGGGATCTGGGAGCAGATCCAGAAGGCCTTCGACGGCTGGATCAAGGACGAGCCGCTCGAGGTCGAGAACTGCTACTTCCCCCTCTTCGTCACCAAGGGCGCCCTCGAGGCCGAGGAGGACCACGTCGACGGCTTCGCGCCGGAGGTCGCGTGGGTCACGCGGTCCGGCGATTCCGAGTTGGCGGAGCCCATCGCGATCCGGCCGACGTCGGAGACGATCATGTACCCCGAGTTCGCCAAGTGGCTCCGGTCCCACCGCGACCTGCCGCTGAAGCTGAACCAGTGGTGCTCCGTCGTCCGCTGGGAGTTCAAGTACCCGACGCCGTTCCTCCGGTCGCGCGAGTTCCTCTGGCAGGAGGGCCACACGGCCCACTACGAGCTCGCCGAGGCCGACGCCATGGTCTACGCGATCCTCGGGCTCTACAAGAAGGTCTACGAGGATTTGTTGGCCGTGCCCGTGATCCCGGGCACGAAGACGGAGAAGGAGAAGTTCGCCGGCGGCCTCCGGACGACGACCGTCGAGGCCTACATCGACGGCTCCGGCCGGGCGATCCAGGGCGCGACGTCCCACAACCTCGGCCAGAACTTCGGGAAGATCTACGGCATCGAGGTCGAGTCCGCGGACGGCTCGGGCGGCAAGCGCGTGCCCTGGCAGACGTCCTGGGGCCTGACGACGCGGTCCATCGGCGTCATGGTCATGGTCCACTCCGACGACCAGGGCCTCGTGCTCCCGCCCAGGGTCGCGCCGGTGCAGGTCGTCGTCATCCCCATCATCTCCAAGGCCTGCCCCCTGGCCGAGCTCCAGGGCTTCGTCGACTCCGTCAAGGCCGAGCTCAAGGCCGCGGGGCTCCGCGTCCGCGTCGACGACCGGGGCAACCAGTCGCCGGGCTGGAAGTACAACCACTGGGAGCAGAAGGGCGTGCCCCTGCGCGTCGAGGTCGGGCCCCGCGACGCCGCCGCGCAGTCGGTGATGGCCGTGCGCCGCGTCGACGGCGGCAAGAAGGCGCTGCCCCTCGCGGGCCTCGGCGCGGCGCTCGCCGCGGAGCTCGACGACGTCCACGCGGCCATGTTCGCCAAGGCCAAGGCGGCGCGCGACGCGAAGCTCGTCCGCGTCACGGACTGGGCCGACTTCGTGCCCAAGCTCAACGAGAACAACCTCATCCTCACGCCCTGGTGCGACCCGGCGGACCAGGACGCGGAGGAGGCCGTCAAGGACAAGTCGCGGACCGAGGCCCTCGAGGCGCTGGGCCTCGACGACGAGGACGCGCGCACGGCGACGTCCCTGGCCGCGAAGACGCTCTGCGTGCCCCACGACCAGCCGCCGCTCCCCGCGGGCACGAAGTGCTTCTTCACGGGCAAGCCCGCGACCTGCTGGTGCCTCTGGGGCCGGTCCTACTAGACCGGCGGCGCCGCGCTAACGGACGTATACGCCTTGGTCGCAGGCCATTTGAAGGGAAACATCGGAAACGAAAGCGGTCCTACTAGACCGACGGAGCCGCGCTAACGGACGTATACGCCTTGGTTGCAGGCCATTTGAAGGGAAACATCGGAAACGAACGCAGCCCCCGATGGCCACAGAGGCGCTCGGCTAGGCGAGCCGTGTGTTGAGCGGCGATGGCCGCCTGGAACACGCCGCTGCGCGTCGGCGAGAAGATGCGCGTGCGCGGCAAGGGCGCGACGGTGCGCGCCGGCAGCGACTTGGACTCGGCGGTCGTCGCGTCGCTCAAGCGCGGCACCGTCGTCTGCGCCCTGCTTGACTCGGTGCGGACGACGAGCGACGGCCGCGCGCGCCTGCGACTCGTCGAGCCCGTCGCGGGCTGGGTCACGGCGAAGCTCCTGGAGGACGTCGACGCCGCGCGCGGCGGCCGCGGCGCGGAGCCGCCCGCCGCGGCCGCGGCCGCGGCCGCCCCGCCCGCGGCGCCCGCGGCGCGGCCGGCGCCGCCGCCGGCGCCCGCGCCCGCCGCGCCGACGGCCGAGCGCGCGGCGGCGGCCAGGGCGCGCGGCGCGGCGCTCGCCAAGGCCATCCTGCTGCTCCGGGCGCGGTGCAACGGCGTCCCCGAAGCCGACCCGGCCGCGCGGCCGAGCGACGACGAGATCCGCGCCGTCGTCGCGGCGCGCGCGAGCGGCGCGCTCGACGTCGAGGCGTCGGCGACGCTCGGCATGCTGCCGGCGATCCGCGCGGCCGAGCTCCACTTCCGCGCAGCACCGCGCGACGTCTTCTACGCGGGCCACGGCTTCGACCCCTTCGGCCAGCGCTTCGGCGTCTACTGCGGCCCGCCGCGGACCTGGGCGGGCGCCGACGCCGCGCCCAAGGCGCTGCCGCTCAGCGACTTCGGCTACGTTGACTGCCCGCCGCTGCCGGCCGCGGGCGTGCGCGTCGGCCGCGACGGCGACGGCCCCGGCAGCAAAAAGGGTGATTCGACGTCGCTTCAACGTGAGTGTGCCGCGCGCGCGCGTTTCGGAAACAGCACCCACGCTCCGAGAGCGCTCCGAGAGATGATCGCTCGTCCAGAAATCGGCCGAAACGAGCGGAAACCGGCCGAGAGCGGAGCCTTTGAAGTTGGGCATGTCGCACCCTTGTGCTGCCCAGGCGACGGCCCCGGCACCGTCTTCTTCGTGCACCCGCTCGCCGAGGCCCTGCTCCACCTCGGCGACGCGCCCCTCGACGGCGAGGCGCCGGACGCACACTTCCCGGCGCCGCGGGCCGACCGCGCGCGCCGCTTCGCGGCGCGGTTCCGCGACCTCTGGGGCGGCTGCTGGATCGCGCCGCCCTACTTCGCGCTGCTCGACGCGGGCTACGACGTGCGCCTCGTGCCCTTCGCGCCCCCGGGCCGCGCCTGCGTGCTCCACTACTACGGCGAGTGCTACGCGCCGGACCGCGCCGGAAGCCGCCGGCGGACCGGACCGGTCCGCGCGGAACGTCTCTCCCTCGCGTCGACGTCGTTTCGGCTGATGTTTGGACGCGTCGTCTGCGCTCGTCGAGCGCTCGACTCCGAGCCGAGGGCCTGTCTCAACACCGATCGAACGCGAGCGCGTGGACGCCGCGCGGCCCACGTCGCGTCCCGCCCCAGGTGCCGGACCTCGCGGCGCTCAAGGCCGCGAACCCGGACGCGTTCGTCACCGTCGCGGACCACGTCGTCGCGCCGACGCTCGCCGCCGCGGGCCTGCGGACTTTGGTGCAGAACGACGGCCAGCGGCGGCCGGGCGGCTTCGTGCTGCCCATGTTCCCCCAGAGCGGCCTCGAGCCGCGCGACGCGGGCCGCGGCGACGCCGTCGAGCGCGTCGTCTTCGTCGGCTGCCGGGGCCAGCTCCGCGCCGACTTCGCGTCGCCGGCCTTCGCGGCCGCGGCGCGGCGGCTCGGCGTCGAGTTCGACGTCGTCGACAAGGGCCGCGCGGCCGAGTGGGCTTCTGTGTGGAAATCAAATCTTCAACCCGACTTCAATGTGCGCATATGCGACCGTTTCGACGCGAGGTTTTCTGCTGTGCGTCGAGAACTCGATGAGAGCAATCGATTCGTCCAAAAATCAGCCGAATCGACTTCGATTTGACCGAGATAGAGAGTTCTGAAGTTTGGTGGGGACCCCCCAAACCAGTGGTTGATTTCCACACAGGTGGGCTTCCGCGCAGCGGACCGCGGACCTCACGCTGGCCGTGCGGCCGGCGCACGTCGAGCTGGCGCGGAAGCCGCCGACGAAGCTCGTCAACGCGTGGTGCGCCGGCTGCCCGGC